CCAATTCTGTACTTGAACCAGGAGTCTGCTGATGGAGGGAACATGGACAACTCTGTTAATATAGCTGTAAGTACCTGTTTCTTTTTAGCTTGGGAGACATATTAGTAAATGCTAGATTATGTGCCTGTACTCACGGTTTCTTGCTCAAAAAATGGATTTGGGAGCCATTCTTTCTTCAAATAATACATTTTTNTTAGACTCCGTTTGGGAGCCATTCTTTTTTCAAATAATACATTTTTTCTTTCACATCAAGTTGGATCCATGGCTGGAAAGAGACACAAAAAAGGTGTGATTTGACACAAAGAATGCATTTTTATGTAGAAAAATGGTTACCAAACGAAGGCTTACAGTTATTATGAGAAGTGTGTTATCCTAAATAACTGCGCATAACTTAACGTTATTTAGTAATTCACAAATATTGGAACATACTGTTTCAATCTTATGCATCTTATTTTAGTTGAATACAAGAAGAAAGTGATGCCTTTTTATGTACATCTTTCCACACCTAAATTCTTTTAACTTGTTTATTAATCATTTTCATATTCTTGCTGAGTTTCTCTTATGAAGTCGCCATTGCTTCCACCAACCCACCAGACTGCAACCCCTTCTCCTCATCCTTTGGCTACCCGCAGGTTCCCACCCCACAAATCATTGGCTCCTCCATCCCCATCCTCTCCATCCACCATGATTTGTATGTTAAATTGTTGAAATGAAATTCTCCTCTTCTCTAACTAGATCATTATGCAGAAAGTTCAGACACAAGTCGGAATACACCGTTCACATTCAGTCCCCGTGTTAGATAAAGATGGAAGCATAAAACAGATGGACTATTTAGGCGATGTATTTCGTGTGATTCCCACAACTCCGCAGGTAGCGGCAGAATGCACAGCCACTGCACCAGTTGCCACTCAATCAATTGACACAAGTAACTATTTCAGCAACTATGTAATTATATAATTTTTTCTATTCTTTCATCTGATCGCTAAGTTTGCTTTTCAACAGCTTTAGAATCTTTTTCCTCTAATAAAAAAAATTCTGAAGGATCTGTATTTCTAGCTTCACGTAGTAAAGGAGATCTGACACATTCAGTTTCCACCAGAAACCGCAATATCTTTTAAAGGTCACAGGAAAAGTGTAGGTTTTCATAGACACGAAGTGGATCTTTCGGTTTCTGCCTTATTTTGGACTCACTTTGCATGTTGAAGATTGTGGATTACAAGTCACGCTTATTGGAAATAAGCTTATGCTGACGATTTCCTTGGAAAACAATGCTGGAACATTTAAGTTATTGCATGTTTATCTAAAAATTTACTTGCACGTGATGAGTTAGTTTTAGAATTTTTCTTTTGCTTAATTAAAAATTACAAATAAGTTACTTCATTTACAGTAAAGTAAGAGTTACTTTTTAAATAAATAACTTTCAAATTAAGAAAAAGTAATAACTTGTACTTATTTTTAAACTTAGGAAAACATGGTCAAATTAAATGTACTTGTGATTTGAGTATTGGCTGGAAATATTTAACAGCTTAATTTGGTTGGAGAATCTATTTAATTATGAAATTTTTAACTGTTGTTATCATTTGTAACCATTTTTACTGCATGTTTGATGCTTTTTTTTGACTTTTAATTACCGCCATGGACCTTATGCTAGTCTTTTCAGATGAAAAATGTAATTATGGTGAAGACATCCCTCAAGAAGAAGCTGTATGCAGGATCTGCTTGGTTGAACTTGGCGAGGGCCAGGATACGCTAAAGATGGAATGCAGCTGTAAAGGTGAGCTTGCCTTTGCCCACCAGGAATGTGCTATTAAATGGTTTAGCATAAAAGGCAACAAGACTTGTGATGTCTGCAAGCAAGAGGTGCAGAACCTACCTGTTACACTTCTGCGAATTCAAAGCACTCGGGCTCGAGGAAATGGAACTAGTCCAGCTGAAATTTATCAATATAGGTTAGTACTTGTTTGTCAAGTTATATTTGCAATGAAGAGGAGAATTCTTTTTTGGTTTGAGGCATTTTTTTACGAATATGAGGTGAAGCTGCTCATTTGGCTAAATCAACTATTTTTAGTACCTAGTATCAAAATTTATAAAACTTTTGCTGAATTATAAATGCCATGTCACTGAGCTAAAATACTTGCCAATATATCCAGGGTTTGGCAGGGAGTTCCCGTTCTCGTGATTGTCAGCATGCTTGCATATTTTTGCTTTTTGGAGCAATTTCTGGTAAGTCAAAACAACTTTAAAACATGTTTGGCTAAGCTTGAAAAGAACTAAAGTTACTTTTAAGTGATTTTTGTTTCCAAACGTGTATAAATAACTTTTTTCTTTTATTCTAAAGTAAATTTTACCTTAATCTCAAAATTACTTATTTAGTTGTAAGTAAACTTTTTAAGCTTAGTTGAACATTCCCCGGGTCATGTAATCCTGTCAATGATCTCTGTATGCAGGTTACAAAATTGGGATCTAGTGCTATTGCGATATCTTTGCCCCTTTCCTGCATATTAGGTCTTGTTGCATCTATGACATCAGCTACCATGGGTACATGATTTTACTAAAAAGAATTCCAATTCGATTCAAGTTATGTCGATTTGATTTTATTGTTTCATCCACTGTATCCTTGTAGCAAGGAGAAGATATTCTTGGATATATGCAACTATTCAGTTTGGACTGGTAGTTCTTTTCACGCAGATATTCTACTCATTGGTAAGACATCTTTCAGAGAAGCTAATATTGACAACTTGCTAAGTGAAGATGAAGACTAGGAGCATACAGGTTAAAAACATTGTTAGTCACCCAACTTATAGTGTTGTTTCACTTTGATCATGGAATAATTTTTTGTTCTAAATTAGTCAGTTGACTTCTGTTTTTGTTTCTATTTGGTCACTCCGTCTACCTCCATCTGCTAAACTAGTATAAATGCTTGAATAGTGGTGGTTGCAATGGCAGTGGTAACAGGAGGGCTGCTGAGAGTTGGAGAAGAAACATTTCCTTCAATTTGATATATATTTTTCTCTCTTTTTCTTCTTTTGTGATTCCTTTGGGTAAACTCATTTTGAAAATTCAGTAATCTAAGTTGGGTGACTACTAATGTTTTTATCCCTACAGTATCAATAGATTCAGTTCAGACAACAATCTAACTTATCAAGGCTGCTTTTCTAAGGCTTAGAGTTACCTGATGGACCAGTTTATTTCCCTAACTATTTTACTAATACATACTCGACTGTTCTGAAACACGAGGTTTGCTTCCGACTCTAAATTCTTTTCTGTGCTGGATCTGTAGCTTCATATACAGGGAATTGTATCAGTGCTTCTTGCTACTTTTGCTGGATTTGGAGGTGCAATGTGTGGAACTTCTATTGTTTTCGAGTTTATGAAATGGAGGGGGTGGACTACTCGGCCACATCAACAAAGTGATTCCACACAACCAAATCAATCTTCAGATAGCGTTCACATGCCTCAAATGAATTCTCAACAATTCCAAACTGAAACCACAAACGAAGGAATTGACCGTGGGAGCTGACCACCAGCAACCATGAAAATGTGACGTTGAAGAGAGTACCAGCACTTCACGCTTGTACTGATGTTATGTTAGTTAATTGAGCAACAAATTGTGACTCAACCTAATAGTATTTTTACCTAGTTATCTGGTTGTTGTAAGTGAATAGGCTAAAGAACTATCTGTAAATATGTGCCCCTCAAAAATTTTCATAGGCGGGTTTAAGAATTTCTGATCTTATTCATAAGGAAGCTTGTTTCAATTTACCCCATGGTGTACTTGACATTTAACGGGTATGCTTTTTTATTTAGATTTCGTTATACCTTCTTTATGCTTGCCAACAAAAAAACCGAGTGCCAAACTTGCAACATCATTACAGGGCAGATTTCACAATCTTCAACGACCGAGGTTTTTTTTTCAATAAATTTAGCATCAATTACATAATTCTGTTTACATATCCCTTTGTTTTTGTTATAGATCACATCACACTAATGAATACGTATTTTTTCTATTCTTCTCTGTATCATGTACCCGAAGGGACAATCACTCAAGTTAAGTGGCAAAATAGTCTTACGTTACTATGTAAAACTGACTGCAAGGAGGGGGATTTTAGTAGAAGATGCGAATCTTTTCGTCGTTCTTGATGTGGTCAAATATAAGATATTGTACTTGACCCCAGTTGATCACGAGTTCAACCATTGCCAAGAATCATCTTTTATAATTTTTAATCTATGTTTAATTAGAATCAAGATCCAAACTTGCAATCTATTTCCTCAACCCTAGTCAAGAAAAACCTTTTTTTTTGGTTGGTTATGTTACTTGACAAGTTTTTGAGACCTAGCCATGAGAATCAAGTTCAAGTCCTTTTTTTTATATTTTGATTAGGAAGTGGAACCTTTTTATGTTGAATCGCTGGATTTAAGTTGTACCAAAATCATTTTATTTTCTATCATTTCAACATGAAAACTTGAAGGAAAAGATTTGTTCAAAAGAGTGTTGTCCCTATTAGCACAATTACTGAAATGATATCCAATAATATGATGCACAAAGTAATTAAACCCTTTTCCTTGTCTAATCCAATCATTGACATTGAAATCCGACTGCCTAATGATTTCTCGTACACTAGATTAATCATTATTATCATAATTTTCTGTCCACAAACATGGAAACTTGAAGAAAAATATATGTTCACAGCATCAGTATTAGCCAAGTTGTTCTTCCTCCAAATTTAAGCAAGCCGTTAGCTGCCTTAACACTGTCAAAAGTTTTCTAGCCACCTTAAAGTGCACCTTTCACCTTACTCAACATTTATTGCCCATCTCAAGTGTGTGCGTGCGTGAGCGGGCGAGAGAGTTTCTTTTATTTTTATTTTTGCAGGAAGAAAAATCTTCCCAGTCAATATAAATAAAGCTGTGTCCATTGAGTCCTTTCATCTATAATCAAGGAGTTTCTTCATTGATCTTAAAAGCCTACAAGAAAGGGAGGGAAAGAAAAAAACTGCAAAATGAAACAGATTTTCCCAGCATTCCCCCTCGTGTTCTTCTTATTCTTCTTTCAGTGCACTCCAGCTCTTTCGCAGAGTCCGACGCCGGCTCCTGCACCTCCAGCACTGGTTCCTGCACCCCCAGCGATGGCTCCTGCTTCTGGTTCCACGGATGTCACAGCTATTCTTGGAAAGGTCGGTCATTTTACGACATTTATTCGACTCCTAAAAGCCACCCAATTGGCTGATCAACTCAATACACAGCTTTACAAGTCAAACCAAGGTCTCACAGTATTTGCTCCCACTGATGATGCATTCAGTAACCTCAAACTGGGCATGTTAAACTCCCTCACCGATCAACAGAAATATCAGCTGGTCCAATTCCACGTCCTACCTTCATTTTTCTCCGTCTCCCAACTCCAAACCGCAAGCAATCCACTACGAACACAAGCTGGAGGTAGTGATGGACAATTCCCATTCAATGTCACAACATCTGGGAATCAGGTGAACATAACAACCGATATGGTTAATGCAACAGTGGCAGATACAGTATATACCGACAAGCAGCTAGCCGTATATGAGGTTGATAAAGTACTTCTTCCTCATGGTCTTTTTGTACCTCCTTCGCCACCTCCTGCACCACTAAAACCCAAAAAACGCCCAGCTTCAGATTCTACCCAATCTAATGATACTCCTCATGTCCAAGACGATACTTCTGATGGAATTCATCTGTCCCAACATACATTGCGTGCAACATCCAGTATCGTCCTTGTTTTGGCAGCGTTTATTTGAGTTTGTAACAGTGTGTGATAATGGAATTCTTTGTACCGCTGCTTGTATTATCTTTGCCCAATTAAATTCTCATGCATTCTGTCATTATGCAACTATCATTTTTTTTCATTTTCAATGTATCAAATTCATGCCTTACAATAAAAATTAAAACCCCAAAAATGCATACAAGAATCATTGACGATCTTCTACAAATAATAGATTTCGTAAGTTTTCTTTGGTCACTTTAATATAAATGAATTTTATTTCAACAACTCGTGATAGTTTGATGGATGCTTCAAACTAGCAAAACAGAGCAAAAGTATCCACAAGAAACTGAATCACAAGCCAAGTAACGTTCATGCTTGGTTACTGCCTTTCCAACAAATAGATTTGGTTTGGAGTTACAAGTGGTGTCCCAATTTTACATACCATTAGGCCTGCCATCAGTCTGGGTATTTCAATACCCGAACCATCTATTACACTTCCAAGTATTTTGTAAATAAAACCATTTGAATCCACGTAATTATTGAAATCGAACCCGAACTGAGACCATCAGTTTTGATTTGATTCTACCCATATCTTTCCAATATTTAAAATTGAAGAAATAAAATATGCCACCAAATACATATTTCAGCACTTTTAATCCACTTCAAATATGCCACCAAATAACATGAAATAATTAGCATAATAGCATTCAATTTTGATTGTGGATCTGTGTGCATAGTCTCAAGAAGATCTTGTGGAACGTGTAAAGCGTATAGTGCGGTTAGGAGTGGCTACAAATGAAAGTTATATGATTCAATTATTCAAATGAATTAAGATGATTGATTAGAGTACTCACTACTTGGGACTTGCAAACTTGCTACTTGTTATGTTTGGTTAGTGGGTTAAGGGTGAATAAATTGGTAAAGATCAAAAACTTATAAAAAATGACAAATTTGATTCCAGAGTTGTACTCGCGATTCAATTCTCAAAAAATCAAGAACCACCAGAGACCTGATCGGTTCTCAATTTGGATTCTTTTTTTTTTATTTTATTTTAAGAATCGGACCGAAACATCCGATTACAATTCGAGAAGTTCAATTCCTATTAAAATGTCTACCTTTACTTACATACCATCCTTATGACTCTTCCAGTGACCCTTGTCTGATATCTCTAAAGAAAATGAACAAATTGGCCTTGTGAACAACTTGATGTTGCAGAATTTTCAAAATAATTTCATTGGGCATTAGGAAATGGATCTAAAGTGAACAGCACGTGTTATTAAACATGAGGAGGGGGACGACTTTCTATATGAGCAAAATAAGAAGATGGAAATTGCTTGGCCATATCACCTATGGCGGCCAGGGCCACCCTTGTTTGTTGGAGGTCGCGCCAGGCATGCAGCCTGGATTCTGCTGCATGTTGGTGGCCTCCCCACCTTATATGAGGGCATGCCAATGCTCTTTGTATGAACAAGTGCTTTTGTTTCTAACTGGTTTCATATCCAAAATTCGAATTTTAACTTGTACTCGTTGTCATAGGTCTTTTGCAACGTGCACGTTGTCATTACCATTTTGACAACTTGCAATGCACATTACCATTACTTTTTAACAAAGTTCCTTTGAACATTGTAGACTCGTAGTTTTGTATCTATTTTTTGAAATATTTTTTTTTTGTAAAATTGTTATTTCACAATTGAGTAATGCTATTTAGTTTCACTGAGGTTATAATCTCAGTACATGTGGTGTTAGATGATAGATTAAATAAAAGACAAATTAAATACCATTTATCATTTAATGTTATATTAGAGCCACATAAAATGAGATTATAATTACAGTAGAGTTAAATATCATTATTCTTTACAATTTACTCTCATTTCACAATAGTCATTAAATTTATTTATGCAATAACAAGTACTAAACACGTCATCACATTGTAAACAGATTGAAAATTCTGGAAAATTTCTTCGGGGGAAAGGGTGATTGACATTCTTAGTGTACTTTCTGTTCCTTTCCACCTTTTCTTCTCCAAATTGTTGAAGAGCCACGAGAGTAAGCAATTAACTGTCACGAGCACGAATTAAGCACTTCTCCAATGCAGTCTAGGAGTCTAGAGTCTTAAGGTTATTCTCAAAGTACTCCTCAACTAGCTCAAATAATTCTTGATTCTTCCATGTCTTTCCTACAATCCAAGATAACCTTAACAATCTCTCGATTCATCTCCAACAACCTTAATGATTTTCTTGCAAGTTTGTTATTTGCTGCCGTAGATTATTTGAACTAGTTGACGCGCTAAAATTATGGTGTGGCAGCTGACATAAGATTAGTTGGTTACAAAAAATTAAAATGATCAAGGTCAGCTTTTGAAGAAAGACATACCAAGAACATATTCCAATACGAAATTATATCTGACAAAGCAATACTCGCATGCACAGACTCAAAAATTGGATTAAAATTCATGAAGTGAATTATTTCAATAAAGATTACAACAAAATTGATTTCTTCATATGCAAAACAGCACATAATACTTGAAAGACTCAAATTCAATTAGGGGTAGACACAAAAATTGGATTCAAACTGAATTAACATACCAAGAAGAAGTCATTAAAAGTAGGTGAACATATCCACTGCTAATATGGCTTGGTTACACACATACACATTATCCTTTTCGGTTAGGATTCTCCCTATTATGTATGCCTTGGTTACACATAATCAACGCCTGTACTTTTTTCTTGTCAATCACATCTGTATCCGCCCTTGGCATATAAAGCAAAGGCAATGGAGTAAGCAACTTTCATCAAATTTCCTTGAAGGACACCTGAGTTGTTCCTTTTGGAATGTTATTCAGTACAATAGCAACAGCTAAACTGATTCCATCTACCAGCTTGACTTTTAGCTTGGGGTGTTTTCTTACCAAAAAAAACTCACCAATTCCATTGAGTTCTTCTTCCTGTGATCAATATTATGCAAAATACAGAATTCACACGACTCTTTGGTGATGTTAAAGTATTTTAATAGACAGTAGAGCTCTGACTTAACTAATTCAATAGACCCAGGCTCACCTTAATGTCCTTTTCCCTCAGCTGCCAGTATAGCATTCTCGATCAAACTATTGATTGATTCTCTTTGCCATTGCATGCAATGTTTCAACAACATGAAATTAATAATGTCAATAATTACATGCATGTCTACATATAAAATGACACAAACATAGCTTCTTACCTGGATCTTATATTTTGGAATGGCCCAGGTTTGTAACTTTAAATATTATATAATTTAATAATGCATACACGTAGTTCGTGCAATCTACATGTATAGCATGCTACATGCGTGTAGACAATCCTTTATGAAGGCAACAGCATGCGAGAAATTTCTTTAAGAGATCACATTAAGGAACGAAGATCAAGTCCAACTCATTCTGCTGCTACTAATACCAGATGATAAATAATGCATTTACCATTACGCATCGCATATAACATATAGACGAGGCTGTTTCACATCCATTGATGATCCAGTTTGTTTCAGTTAAGTCAAGTCCTAAATTAAGAGCCTCATTAAGCTGTACCCTTGGAACGCTTTAAATAAAATTTAGAGACTCTTTCAGCTGTCCAGCCCTACCAAATAAATCATCCATAACGGCATAATACTTCATAGTCCTCTGGAAGTAGTCACGCTTCATGCTATCAAATAACTGAAGGCCCTGATCCACTTGACCAGCATTCGAGCATGCAGTTAAAATGGCAAGAAAAGAAACTTCATATGGTTTCACTCCTATAAACAACAAAAATCATGTTTCTGATTTCACATAACAATCTGAAGTATCATTAAGAAAGCAGGCATGAAAAGATATGGAAATCTTTAAGAAATGAACAAGCCTGACAACTTCATAATCTCAAAGTAGCGAAGAGCTTTCTCAACATGCCCATGTATTCCCCAACCTCATATAATTACACTCCATGTATGAATATATTTCTCCTTCATCTCCCACGAAAGCTTGGCTAGCAGACTCAATATACCCACATTTTGCATACATAACCGTTAGAGCAGTTCCAACAGCAACATTCAACTGAAACCCATTATTTGAAACATAATAATTATCCTTTTGCCTACCTCAAGTGCCCGAATTTTTGCACAAGCAGAAAGCGTAGAAAAAATGGTCAACTCATTTGCCCTGATGCCCTCCTTCACCATCTTCATAAACATATCTAACGCCTTTTCATGCATCCAATTCTATGATAACCCATTAACAATTGTTGTCCAAGAAACCACAGTCCTCTCCTCCATTCGGTCAAAAAACTCAACAGCCTGTTGCACCTTCCCATTTCTCATCAACCCATTTCTCATGCTATTCCAAGACCCAATATTTCTCTGGCATAACCTCGAACAACTCTAAGTCCTTCAACTCCTCATTTTTGCAACATCCATTAATTATCACATTACACAAAAGAACATACTCAACCTTATTTCTCTTAGTACTTTCAGAGAAAACTTTCAAAGCATGCCCCCAACAACTCCACCTTCACATACATATCAACCAAAGAAACCCTACAAAAGCAATCCAAATTAAAAAAATTCAGTAAAAACGCATACTACTGTGGCTGAAGTACTGATAGAGACGCCACCTGAGAGGTAATAGTCCGTGTTAAGGAAAATATAGCAGAAATAGGAATTAGCAGCAGCTTCCCTTGTAAAGGCAATAGTTTCAACCCTGCCAAAAAGCAAAGAGCAGCAGCTTAGGAACTAAAGGGCATATCTTTTTTGGTTAAATACTCTAGAAATGATAACCCTGGTTTTAAAGGTTAATCCTTCGACAAGAAACTACAGCATTTCCACTCATAATAGCAAACCCCAGAAATCCGAAATTACTAAAATTGCACAATTTTATCCACAGTTTATCATATTTGCAATCTTACGAGAAGGGGCATGGGGTAGGGTAATCTCGAACTAGAGCTCAGACTTGCAGCGATCTTCACTATCTCGAAATAGATCGAATGGGTAAACGAACGAGTAGATCTCTAAATAGAATGAATGCCGGTCCAGCACAAGGAAATGCTCAAAGCTTCAACGTTCAAAAGCAGAAATGGAAAGACTTCTCTACTTCGATTAGTAGTCGGGCAAGTGATGAGGGAAAACGTTATATAGCA